TTTCTAGAGTGCTTTCCCCTAAATTTTTAACTGCCAATGAAAGCAGACATTACAAAAAATACATGTACCAAGATATAATTACCGTAATTTAATGAATCACTTTTTCACATTTTTCATTGTTTGATTCAGTGTTTCAAGTTGTTTATATTTATAATATTCGCACACTACGTTTCCTCTTAATTTATAAATATGATTTATATTTAGTTGTTGCACATCTATTACAATAATTCCGGAGTGGATGTTGTCCACCAGGCAGGGACATAACTAATGAAAATCAGTTGAAATGCCAGTATCATAATTATTACTTCCCTTTAAAAGATAAATGGATATTTTTTTTTCCATGCGAATAGTTTCCCAATTATTCCAGCCCCATCTGAAACTGCAATATCTTCTCAGTCGTGATTTGACCACAAAGCAGTTTTAAATAGAAATAAAATGATGACACGAAAATGGCATTATAAATGGTAGAGACAAGGAGCGCCCTATTCATTTATTATTACGGTATATATTGTGCTACTCTTCTCGTAATTTACACGTGCAACGTAATTGTTTTGTCCCGTTTAGTTGGAGGGGTGGGGGTGGGTAAGTATATAATATGCACAATACCGGTAGTTTAAAAAAATATGTTGTCTATTATATTATATAAGTTAAAAAAGCCTATTGTTATCTTTCTTATGTAAATTAAATATTTTTTTACCCTTTTCTTTTTTTTAAACAAGTGTTTGAAAAATATACGGCAGCAAATTTTATTTAACCAAAAAAATATATACTTTTAGTTTCACCTGTAATATAAATAATATACAATTACAAACGTGCAATATTTATCACGGAAATAGACTATTTGACACGACGAAACGGCTCGGCATAAGTACAGGCACCCCAGTACCGTACCGTGCATTACACAATGTAGCCAACACCTAAGCTAAAGCTTTGAGAATGTACACATTTTGGTTTTGTGTGGCTTTCAGCGCTTTGAAGATTCAGAGTCCCATGCACACATAAATCACACACCGTCACCATTAATCTTGTTTTGAGCGCCATTTTGTTTGGCCCTGACACTGACATCATGGGATGAAACATCAATGGACGTGATAAAGTCCCCCGTGCTGCCATTGTTGTGTTCATCGAAGGGTTTGGAACCATTGTCATCGTTGGAATGTACTCGTTGCTTCTGGAAAGAGAGAGAGAGATAGAACCCAAATTCCAAAAATAACCTTCCTCCCTTATTTTCGTACACTCTGTCCCCTATTGCACCCTTATATTATGGGCAACCTCCGTGCATACATACAAATGAGACCCCCCTTAAAAAAATAATTTAAAAAATAAAATAAAAATATTTTAATGTATAATAACAAGGTAATAAACGAAGTCACATTAAAAAATTATATTTAACGTACACTCATAAAAATTTATTTCACTTATCACAGGTTTTAGTTGTGTTGCACAATGTCGAATGTTAGAGCCAAAAGAGACCGCACAATTCAAATGCAATCTTCTCAACGATAACATGCCTGACCTATCTGGAGAAATAATTTTAGTTTCAGCTGTCTTTTCCAAGTTAAATTTGTTTTGACTTTTAAGAATTTTTATGTATATGCTGAAACTGAAATGAATCTGTACCACCGGCTCCCAAAACAGATATTCTTCGGAGAACTCGCGTAGTTACGTCACGAATTATGTCACGAGTACAGAAACATACAAAGATGAACGATTGACTTAAATTTGTCACTTAAAATGATATACAAATTTCAGGATCCACGCAAAAAGCCCCCCCCCCCTTTTTTTTTCTTCCCCTTGTACTTAATCCATTTAGTCATACTTTTTCTGCTAGTAATTAATCCATTTTCTTGTCCTTAATTATTCTTCTTGTCATTTAATTGAATCCATCTACTTGTCGCTAATCTCTCCTCCTTTCCTTTTCAGTCTGTTGTCATGATCCCTCTAGTTGTAATTAATCTATAAATATGCAAATTTCTAACCATTTCAACCCATATGAACATTGACCAGGCTCAACAGTCAGCCCATATCAACATTGACCAGGATCAGCAGTCAGCCCATAACAACATTGACCAGTATCAACGTCAGCCCATATCAACATTGGACAGGATCAACAGTCAACCCATATCAACATTGGCCAGGATCAGCAGTCAGCCCATAACAACATTGACCAGTATCAACAGTCAGCCCATATCAACATTGTCCAGGATCAACAGTCAACCCATATCGACATTGGCCAGGATCAACAGTAAGCCCATTACCTTTATGCACACGCAGTGACGTAATCACGTTGGAAAATATCGGGTCTAAGTTGAATCAATGATCGATTGCCATTAAACAGTATCACCCAGTTCAGTGTCGTGGCGTGGCTATGGTTAGTACCACCGTCCGAAATGGGGCAAGACTGTTTCAGCTCCGCTAACACGGGAAACAAATCTTCATGTGACTGAAAATGCCGCCCCTTCCCTATAAAGTGAAAAAAAAAAATCCCACCTGGCCTACGCCCAGGGGCGTCATTTCGGGTGTTTTCAATTGGGGGGGGGGACAAAACCAAAATTTGGTCTTCTTGTTAAGTTGTTTATTACTTTATTACAGTGACTCATGTTAAATGAGGTGGAAATAATACTTTACTGTTTATCATAATTCACTGAATCATGGTTACGGCGTCGATTGAGGTCACGTGAGGTTTAATAAACATTCGGGGGGAGAGGGAGGAGCTTTTTGTGTAAAACGGTTGGGCAGAGGTTGCAGAAGAACTGGGTTACGTTATATGTAAATTAGAGACGCCATTATGCTGGCGCAGCTCACGCCGGGTAGTAACCATTAAAACAGTGGTTCTCAACCTTCCTGATGCCGCGACCCTTAATATGGTTCCTCATGTTGTGGTGACCCTCAACCATAAAAAAAAATTAAAAAAATATTCTGGTTGCTACTTCATAAATATGTGTTTTCCGATGGTCTTAGGCGACCCCTGTGTAAGGTTCGTTCGACCCCCCCCCCCCCCCCCCCCTGCGACTCACCGCTGAGTTAAAAAAGAAAATGGGGTTGGGATCAATGTTCCCTCTAAGGTTTGTTGGTTCGTGTGCAAAATCATACAGTTTTGTGCAAAGCTTTACAGCATCATTTTTTTGTGTGCAAAATCTTTCAGCCCACAAAAACACACTTACATGGAAATTTGCTACGCGGTACTCAAAACTGCTGCGCGGCGTCTGTGCAGAAGCGTAGCGAGGGTGTTTGGCGCCCGGGGGCAAGATTCGCGCCGGGGACAAGATCCATTTTAAAATGCCCCCTTTTCTTTTTTTTTCCAACTCTCAAACCCATTATTTTTACCAACAATGTAATATCCAAGCACATTTTGGCACCCCTAACTAGCTTGCGCCCGGGGAATCTGTCCCCCCTCGCTACGCCTCTGCGCCTGTGAGATAGTTGCGTAGTAGCGCGGCCGCGCAGCTTAAAGGGAAAATTGGTTGGCATGTGCGTACTTTCAGGATTTCTGAAATTTTGTTGTTGAAAATAAAAATACCCAATGCATATTTTTTATTTGATGGTTGACAGAGCATTCTCTAAATAAGATACCATAGTGAAATAGCTTGATGAATACATGTCGTCGGGGGGTGGGGTGGTGATGGGGTGGTGGGGGGTACGAATGGCGTGTCCGGGTCCCTTTAGACCCAATGCTACTCGGATGTCATTTGGTGTAGTTTATTTTAGTTTAACCGAAACCGAAGACGTAAGTTTACAAACAAATAGTCCATTCGATGATTTTTTCATTTGATACCTCATTCTGTCTTACAAACCCAACAATACTATTTTAAATAGTTTTTTTTTTTATCCCAACCGTTCACTTCTGGTACCCGGGTGCGAATAGTCGCAGCCTTATATTAAATGGTAATAGTAAAAGCGAAGTCCCACTGAGAACAAAAAAGCTGTATTAATTAACCACAATACCTGCACAGTACTATATTTATCATTGAATGACTCTACCCCCCCCACACCTCCCCCCAGGGAGCATAACTCTTAATAGTATGGATTAATGGGTTGCGTAATTGACATTATAATCACCGAGTGCATTCTCTCCCTTGATAACTTATTTACTTTCTGTTTTTGGTGTCGTTAATGATTTTTATTTCTGTCCATTCTAAAGCCTGATATTTGCCTGACCCTAACATGATACAGCGCCACTCCTTCGATGGCTTGTTTGTTTAACATTCAAAATTAAGTAGTTTAAAAAAAAAAAAGTTTATGGCAGATTATTGGCCCGATTCGTTGTATGGTTATTCTAGCTCGCAGCCGATGGGCGTTCAATTTAAAAGTCGCAAACCTTTTATCGATTTACCAATTATAAAAACAATAAAAAATTATTACAATCTTGCCTTTGGCTTTGAGAGTATTAAGCGATCAGCTGTTGGGTTTGAGATTAAACTAATCGGCATTATGTTAATGTTAGAGCCGGGAGATAAATGTATTGTACAATCATAGAAAACCGCACGCATTATAATCGCATGTCAACTTAATGATGTGTCAAAAATAATTTAAATTATCTTAAAATCCGGTGCGTGTGTGTGTGTGTGTGTTTTTTTTTGGGGGGGTGGGTGGGTGGGAGGGGAGTGTAAACAACATCAACAAACCAACATTAAATATGATACAGATTCGGTGACGTAGCTGGAGTTTGAGAGTTTGCCGTCATAAATTACGAAAACCAGAATAGATATATAATACACTTATAGTATAATCCATCTAAAACCAAATTGGTTTTTCTTTTTTTTTTTCTCTTGGGATTTAATAAGGCAAACTAATTAAATAAAAGCATTTGGTACGAACTTTTGAGTATGAGTATTTGTAGAGAGAAGTGGAATGGCGGTTAAAGAAAATCTGAGGAGATTTTAGGCAAACTTTCATGTCCTTATTCCTCAGAGATTCTGCCAACTTACTGATTTTCGGGACAGCCACGCGTTGCGCAGGTGGCTGAAGTAGAAATTGTCAAAGACGACACCTTGTCCATTAGAGAGTCGTCCGTCTCTCATACAGCCCAAAACCTAAAATTCAACAATTAAAATTGATCATGATTATGTAGGTTGACTTTTTCCTTTTTGAAACAATTTAACATCTGACATATGGGGGAAAACCAACATATTGACAGGATTTCGGCATGTTTTTAATAATGCTCCGTTCATACGATCAAATTTTCATCAAATTTCTTTTTGAACGCACTATTTTATTTTACGAGTGCGTTCAAAAAAGAAATTTTACGTAAATTTGATCGCGTGAACTTAGCATATGACTCTCTATCCGTTTTTTTCTCCTTTAATTTCGGAATAATACTTTACAGTTTCTAATTGGAAATAAATTAAATTTACATTTTAATTTCAAGTTATAAAAGAATAACACCCTGTTTCGTAATGATTGCCCCGAGTGACGTCACACAGTTCTAAGAAAATACTAGTTATTTGAAAGTTTGGCATGCTGCACAATTTAATTTTGCACTTATAGACTGTCGTAACTTAAGATCCTGACGGCCTATACAAATCTAACTTTAAAAAATGAGAGAGAATGAGAGAGAGAGAGTAGCTGTATATAAATGAATAATTTGTTATAGTAGAGGGTCTCAAGAATATCGCATTGAATTCCTGAAGTATCTAAGCCACCCGTCTCCAAACATTCCCACATTGCAAAGGCGTAGCGAGGGTGTTTGGCGCCCGGGGACAAGATTCGCGCCCGGGGACAAGATCCATTTTAAAGCGCCCCCTTTTTCTTTTTTTCAACTCTCAAACCCATTATTTTAATCAATAAAATAATACCAAAGCACATTTTGGCGCCGCTAACTAGCTTGCGCCCGGGGACATCTGCCCCCCACTCGCTACGCCTCTGCCACATTGGAGATCTGGAGTATCTAATCCACTCCATCCATCTCCACACAGTGAGGTTGCCTTTTCGTGTGTCTTTAGACTCAATCTATAGTTTAAATCTCTGAACACGAAATAGAACCCTGGTCTCTATCGTGGCTGTCAGGTCTCCAAGCTTAGAAGGATTTACGTCAGTTTAACCGTAATTCATCTCGTACCGGTACAGAAGTAGCCGCAAGGCCAAGGGCGAGTAACATGAAGCTGGCACCATGACAAAACCAATGGCTGACAGGCTTGTAAGGGAGATAAACGTCCATTAGTGTCCAGTAACCTGCGAATGTTTGAGACGATTTAAATATCACACAAAAAAAAACATGTTATCTTATTAATCAAAATGTAGCTGTAAGCTAACACACACACAAAAAATAACAAAATATAATATCGCAAATACAGTATGCGATAAAAGTAACTACTGAGAGTACCGCATCAACGTGTACGTGCGTTGTCAACAGTGCATATTTCTAGCTCCTACGTGTTCCCAGTCGTAAAAAAGGATGATGTGTTGGGCAGCTGTATTTGGAGGTGGGCCTCTCGACCGATATACAATTGTTTACATGTTACATTATTTTCACTCAAACCGGTACGTAAGTGGCCGTGAAGGGTGACTGACTATTAAAAAGTGGGAAGAACGATTCCGCGAGCGATTTAAAAAGTAGGAACCAAGTAATACGGTTATGCAAACTTTTGATAAAAAATGTTGCTGTGCTCGAAAGTTCCTCAGTGAATGGAGAGGGAGGGGGGATCTGTTAGACCAGTCGGAGAAACAAGCATTGCAGAGGAGTAAGAGGGTACATTACCAAAACCCCAGAGAAAAAACGGCTCAAAGGCAGACCTAGGCTTAGATGGATGGATGATGTGGAAAAAGACCTACAGCAGCTGGGAATCCAAGCTTTGAAAGGGAAAAGCATTAGTTAGGTCTGGGTGGAAGGAAGTGGTGAATCAGGCCAAAAGGATGGGATGGATGTTGTTAAACGTGTATCCGGTACAATGCACCATGTGCTTAAAAACATATTTTATTGTTCGTCCTTCGCATTCGCAGATGATCAAGACAATCGTCGACCTCAGTAATTTTGAATAATAGCCTTGACTTGAGCTGTATTTAAAGTGATGGGGAGGTGCTCAACTCGTCAGCCTCACTCTCTCGTCCTTTGACGATCTGATCCAATGGCAAGACTTAGTCAAGACGATTGGAAATAGGCAAGGATGCATTAGATGGCCAGCAGTGTGTCTTATGTGCTCTTTTTACCAGTGACTGAACTCCAGTCTTGGAATGGACTCAGATGAAACTGCTCGGCCATCCACACCATAAACATATCATTTGATATTTAAAATATAAATTTAATATTATAAAAGGGCGAATCGCTGACTTTCAGTTTTAAGGATGTTCGTCTCAGACTTTGCGGGGCGAATCAACACCTGCTGGACACATATTGGGTCATTCTCATTTATCCAACCACTTACTGGTCGACCATACAACCCCCCTTTTTCCGTTGACACAGTACACCCCCAGAATGGCACAATCGGGTAAAACTAGACAGCACAACTGTGTTACTTGGTGTCCTCTCAACAAACTTCTCTTGAAATGGTTCTGAATCTTTTTTTTTTTTTTTTTTTTTTTCAAACACGATCCCTCTTACGTGCGAGTGAAACTAATGGTCAGCTATGAACAATTTTGTGGATAGGGCATACTCTCCAACCCCCCCCCCTCCACCCCAGAGAGCATCGTATGAGATAAATTGAATTTCTGCACTTAACACTTAAATCAGAGTTGCATAAGCACTGGACGCTCTGGATACACATCGGACGCATAACAGAATATTTAAGCTATTCTCAAAATAAAGTCCAACATTCAGAAATCGCCAGACTATCAACAGTGTGCTTGGCTCCACCCAGAAAAACTACACAAAGTCTGGCTTTGGTCACTCTATAAACAGTGTGATAGGCTTCATCAGGAATTATGGCCATGGATGTTAAACGAAAAAGTAAGCACACGCGTTCCTGCTGAAATAGAGCCCTGAATGCAGGCGCCGTTATTAACATCTCCAACCTTGGTTTAAAAAGCAATGAGGTAATTGAATTAATAAAACTACTGTACTTCTAACTCTATTTTTGACATCTTCGCTATAGAGACCCTTTAATTTACACATGAAAACTATCTAAATGGGATCTCTTCGTCATCACGCCGGTACTAAGAATGTGGTTTCATGTTACATAAAGGGATACGAACCCTTCAGCTAAAATTGACAACGCTAATAATGGACATTTCATGTGAAAGATCATTTCACTCTCTGACAATTCTTTGATCTAATCACAAAACCTCTTACAAATACTGGTACCTCCATCTAGCACTTATTTTAAGGCGTTCGTAATTTAATTCTTAATTTACATTAACTATTAGATTTGTGTATATCATCTTGCTAATCCCACCAGCCCCACCTCTCAAAAAAAAAAAAATAATAAATAAAATAAATTATAATCCCATACTCACTGCAATGCTTTGCTAAATAGTTGTCAATGTATCATAAGCAGATTGAAAATATAGTTTAATTAAAACTTGACAGTGTTAAATTTTGGAGTAATCAATAGCTTACCTCTCCAGTGGTTTATAGCTACAACTGTGTATAGAATTGTTATCACATCTTCAAATGCCAGGTGGACTAACCAGTGGACATTCTCCAGGTAAATAGACGTGCGTCGTATTGGGACCTGCAGAAATAACGTCAACGAATGTATGTGGTCAGTTGTATAATCAACCAGCCGGGTCTTGTTTTCTCCCCCCCCCGGCCACGGCCCACTTTTTCCGAATGTGGGCGATGTAAGCGATGAGCATGGAGAGAGATTTCTTGAAGGCATCTCCATCTTTGAATTTTGGAAATTTATGTTTTTCAGTAAACATAGAAGGTTATGGTGTGTTGAGCAGCCCCCACGAGTCCTTTCATACTGCACTACAGTGTCTTAGACGATATAAAAAAACCTCACTACATTTACTAATTCTGAAATTTAAAAAAAAATTTTTTAATAATTATTCTTCATTCATGTTACAACTAATGACCGAAAGATTTAAAATTCACGTGTACACCAATGTATAATAACAGCGTATTTCCTCAGCAGTAAAAAAAAACAGAGTATCATCTTAAAGTCAGTGTTGTCATAACGTTTAAGGAAGTGACGTTTGACGGCATATGATGGCTGAATCTTGCGCTTGAGAAAAATCCGTACACTAAATGTCTTACGTTCAGATTTTTCTAGTTTTTCAATTTCATTTAAAAATCAGAATATTTGTCCATATGCTCAAAATGAATATGTGCAATAAAATTCAAACACATTTCCATTTATTTGGATCAATACAAGACTCTCATCTTATCTTATTTAGAATTAGAGCTCTAAAATTCGGTCAAAAGACAGCTTGTTTATTTTTGCCAATTTTATATCTCTACATTAACCCTGACATTTACATTATTTTTTTTCCCATTGTAATTTGAAAATTGAACTTTAAGTAAAGCGGAAGATTTAGCCGAATGAGTTCGTTTCGTTAAAAAAAAAAGTATCAGGACCTGGGTGACGAAGAGTACAACTGCTAGCCCATAACTGATGACGAGACTCCACACGCCGCTCATAGATTTGACATCAGGCGACAGTTCCAGATCAAGCACTTCCCACAATCCTCGCCATACGGCTATGCCAAGGGAGTCAATCACAACAACGCTGAACAAGGAGTCCCCTATCTTTGTCCATGTTCCTGACTAAATAAGATCAAAGGTCAATGTAATTTTTAAAAAAAGAAAGAAAGCGACGCAACGTTTTATGATATCTCAACTACTACAGCTACAACCCATCCCACCTTCAACCCAACCCACATTCAAATTTTAAAAAAAAAAAAAAAGCCACCCCACCTTTTTTTATAACCCCACCTCCACACCCCCCACCCCCCCCCCCCCACACACACACACAAATCAAGTCTGTCCCCAGAGATGAGCTGGGGCATGGAGAGCAAAAGATAGTTTGTTTTTTCGGAGCGGTGCTGGAAAGGGTCTGGGCCAAAAAATTAAAACAACCGTGCTCCAAATCCCTTTGTCCAAAGTTAGGGAATCATCGGAGTTTTTTTCCCCTGACATTCTCAACTGATTTTGAAAAAAGGGTTCAAAGAACGTTGGCTACAAGTTGTGTCATTGTAGTTCTTGGATTCAATCCTTGGATTCAATCCTTGGATTCAATCCTTGGATTCAATCCTTGGATTCAATCCTTGGATTGAGGGTTTTGCGCTGTACCCAAACACGCCTATATGTTGAGCTTGTCTCGTTAAGAAGAAGGATGTACTAAACCAATGGGAATACGGGCATCGGATATGTTTGCGTGGATTGTCATCATATTATGAGTAAAATTTGAAGTTTTAAAAGGTACAATGTTTTTGAATGAACCTTGATGTAATCTGTTTAAAAAGTTTAATTTAAATTTACAAACGAAACAGTAAATAGCTTACTTTGGCATCAAAGTATTTTCCTATAAAGAAATGCTTCTCGACGGGCACATCCATTCGTACAGTTGTAGGGGCCGCGGCCGTCGCTTTGTGGCTTCGCAAGAGCACCAGAAGCGTCGTGGCAGAGGCGTATGTGACCGCCGCGTTCATCGTGGACACACCAGTGTACTCGTCCAGGAGCACCCAGACACAACGCCACTGATGGACGCATGCCCAGCACATGACGTAGCTGTACGCCTGCGCAATGACGAACTGCACGGGCCTCGTTCGGTCAACGGTGAATCTGGTGATGCCTTCTTGGAAGAACGAAGCCAGGAAGTACAAGGTGTAGCCCACGGCGCCAGAGATCCAGCCTGAAACGACGAGGTCGACAGGAAGCAGGTAATTTTCTGGGATGTGCCACGAGTTACACCAGTAGACGGTCACCAGCGGCCCCACCCAGAGGTACGCCAATGCAAAATCAAGGAATCTCGATAATCCAAAAGGCGGCAACTGGCAGTCTTGTCTGGTGATATCTGCACGGGAAGAAGCACCCTTACCTTTTGAAGGTTCGATAGTTTTTGTCGAAAACATGTCAACATGCTCTTTCGAATCGCCATTATCGTCAGATTTGTGATGAAATAAATCGTAAATGATGTTGGCGTTAAATTGTTCGCCCCTTCTTTGCGTTTTCAGTGGCGAATGCTCGAACACGGGCCCTTTTGGTACCGAACAAGATGGATGCGCCAAGGCGTTATCGCAAAGCAAATCTGTTGATTTGTACATTGCTCTTGTCTTACCCGCCAAACTGTTGTGGACTGTTGAACGGACGAGATTATAATTTCTTGTTTGCTGGCACAAACAAGTATTTGAAGGCTCTCTTCTTTCCGTGAGGCGAACATCAGCCAACAGAGAATGGCTCTGGCATTTTCTTGGCCTCAGTAGTGGGTGCTGATTGTCACCAGTTGAAACACTTTTGGGACTACTTCTGTAAAAATGTGCTATTCCGGCTGGGTAGGTCAAGGACAGCCTGTTTCTGACATTTCTTGGAATTACAAGCGTTCTTCTGAGAAAACCCTGCGATGAATCTCTAACATCGGTGCAGATCTCAGCTGATGGTGAAACCTTTCCATCAGAATCGGAGCCAGATGACACTAAAAGCTGATACAACTCCCGATTGTTTTTTGCTTTTTTATGTTCGAACTTCTCTGGCTTACATGAATCGTCCTCGTCACCGATAAGTGTGTTGTAAGAAACTGAGTGCGCGCCCCACCGCAGCGTGTGCTCGCGTTTACCACAGAGAACTAGGGCGTTCGCTTTATCATCCTTTTGGTCTGAAGAGGACAAGGTGTCTGACTCACAAGAATTTAAAGTTGTAGCCTTCGTCCATTGACCCTGAACTTGGAGTTCTTTATCAAAGCTACCGAACACCAATTGAGCCCAAATGACGCTCGAGTGGTCTGACGCATCGCGGCTTATCGGCGGGCACTGCGCCCGTTGGGGTGTATCATCACCATGTAACCACTTGACGTTCTCCTTATCATCGACTCGCGTGTGTATGCAAGTCCCATGACAGGAGTCTATTTCAGCGTCCGGTGCAGGGAAATCACAACTGATGGGACGCTTGTTGGAGAAATCGGGGGACTTCTTTTCTTGTGTCCAATCTACGGGATAAAAAAAAGGGGGGTTGGGTCAGTATTTTATAAGTGAGAGAGGGGGGAAAAAAGATATTTTATGAGATGACGGTCGTTCCTGGCATTCTCGCTTTATTGGTAGCAAGTTTATAACAAATATATCTATTGTAAGCAATTGAGATTTAAAACAAACAAATTCATTAAGTTTATATAGTCCGAAAAAGATCAAATTAAAAATTCTTTATAGAAAATCGGAATTATTCCTGCCTGACCGTGACGAAGGCATTTTGCTACAAGAAACGCATAACTTCTAGTTAGGGATTTTTATCAAACATATTGGACAGATCGTGATGGAAATGGGTTCAAAACTATGGCGCTAGAACAATGTCCACAGGTATTCACGATGAGTTAGTATCAAACCGCTTAAAAAGTTATTTAGATGGAGAAAAAAAAATGTAAATAATAAAATCTTTTTTTTTTTTTTTTTACATTTTTTTTTTTATTTGGTATAAATTTTTTTAATATTTTTTCATTTTTATAAATTG